CTTTCTGCCCAGAAAGTCCCCTTCTTCACTGTTCTTCACCAAGACAACTTCTGATGCTTTCACCAAGAACTTCTTCACGCGTCCAGCCGAGACCACGCCAGGAACCTCATGGCCAGCCATCGGCTCGGGCCGCTAGCGCTGACGGCGAACGCTGTCCGTACGCCGTCACCGCCAGACGACGCTTCGGCGACCACACCAGCCACTTAGAGAAACGGCCACAACTTTCCATGACGACAAACGCACTTTCCGACCACCCAGCTTTCGGCCTCGACGACAGACTCTAAGTCTGAAACAACAGGCATACACGCACCAAGCAAGGCATATAAAACTGACACAGTGGGGCTCCAAACCAAGGCATCACCGGAAAATAAACAATAGCTCCGACTCGTACACTCGTCCGTGGCCGATATCGTGGACAACGGAATATGCCATGCAAACACGTAAAAAGGGAAAGCTTGGGGTCAGTAACTACACTAAAACCATTCAAGCATGTAACAAAACTTTAGGGCGTCGGTATTACAAAAACGGATTCGGAGTTTCACTTGGACATTTTCTCGAATAGGTGGTGGGCGACAAAAAAAGGATCCATAGGTCCGATTTTGACGGGGTTCACGACATGTTCTCAACATACAATGCTCAAAAAAGGTTTATGGAGTATCGAATGAATGTTAGCCTCTGTCGACGGGACCGGGCGACCACCGAATATGCTCGGTGTGCCCGGCACCCGAGAGGCAAGGGAGGAGGAAGCAAAACAGGGGAGCAGAACCAACCCTCACCTGGTTCGTGTCTGTCCCAGACGAAGCACAGCGGCTGGGGGGATTCGGCGGCGTCTCAGGTGGCCCTTCGGCGAATGGGTAAGACTCAAAACTCACCGATTTCACACAACTCTCTCTGTTTTTTTTTTTTTTTTTGCTCTCTTCCCTTTCTTTTTGCTCTTCTTTTTTCTCGGTCCCTCCCTCGCTCTCTGTGTTCTCTCGCTCTCTTTAAGCTCTCTGTTCTTCTCCTCCTTCTCTCTGGTCAAACTCTCTCTTAACTTCCCCTCTGCATGTACAGATTGTAGGTTTTCCTTTTTCGAGCCAATGTCGACGGAGACCGGAGAGATAGCAAGAAAGGTGCGCCCCTCAGTCCATGGAAGAGCTCTCCCTCTTGTCTTTTCCTTTTTGTCTTTTCCTTCTTCCTTCCTTGTTCTTTTTTCGGTTTGTGCAGAACCCCTCTTTTTCGTCCTCTTCCCCCTTTTCTTCTTTTTCGCAAGTGTCAGAGGGAGAGTCACGGGGAAGAACTCCCCTTTGTCTTCTCTCTCTCTCTTATTATTATTTATTATTTTTCATTTTTTCATTTTTTTAATTTTTTTTAAATAAATAAAAATAAAAAAGAAGTAAAATAAAGCGAAAATATGTTTCACTAAATCTATTAATGCAAATGCGCCTAATGTCTACATGCCACACAATTTAATGAAAATATTTTTGTTTAGGGGTTAAAAATCAATTCCTAATTTTTCATGCAATTAAACCCTAAATGAATAGGTAAAATTTAGGTGTCAACAATGATGATGATGCTAAAGACACTGAACCTAGGCGACATTGCGTTTTGGCAAAACCGTAGCTACCAAAGAGAGAAATTTTGATGTGTGCTCATCACTTGTGATGATGCGAGTTTCGATGATCGGCCGCGGGTTGTGTTATAATGCTATGGCAAATTTGTTTCTTGTGGAATGAGCAAGTCTTTACAAGCTGTACCAAATTGATTCATTTTTCAGATTTGCTTTGGACTATAACTCTTTGAGATTGGCTTTATCTTGAAATAATGTATATCTCTTTCATGTAAAATGAAAATTTTCCTTCCAACAAAAAAAAATCCACTTAACAACATCACAATTCGTCTTTTTAAGAACATACAAAATATTTGTACACGCCCAATTTATCACGAGATGTCAGATTAAACAAGGCCCACGTGAAATCAATAAATCAATATGAATCGACAACTCATCGTAGAAACAACCGAAGCGAATAGAAGAGTTGGAAGCTGCACTTAACGAAATAAGCAGAGAATTTTTTTTTTTTCTTTCGTGGCCAGGGTCTTGCAAAAGCAATGGAATTTTGTACGTTATAATAAATGTGTGAAATGTACGGGCAGTTTATGATATCGTGCTTACTATTAGATGGATCTGATTGAGAGGCCTCGATTGACATCAACTCCTGCTCCTGTTCTTCGCACGCTTCACCAGTTGTCACAGGAGAAGCTCCCTCTCCCTCTCCCTATTCAATCAATGCAACGTCGATGGAAGCTCTCAAGCATCAGATCTTATTAATGAGCTCAACCAATTCCTCTTTGCTCCAATCACAGGTCTCTTCTTCGCAATTCAAGTGCGGTTTGGTAAGCCATATTGACCAATGGCCTTTCTGCAACCTCGCATACATATCAATCATACCAACCCACCAACCCCTCAAGGCAAGCCTTGTCTTGATCTTTTACATCTTCGATCTTCCAAGATTTGAGCAAAGAGGGTCCCTGAACTTTTGCCCCCCTCCACAACCATCGTAAAAAGCAAAATGACACAAACAATCCTTGAATTTTAGCTTAATATGCAATGTGGTCCCTGAATTTTTATTTTATTCAATGTTATTCATGAACTTTAATCCAATATGGTCTTTGAACTTTTAATTTGTTCAATGTCATCCCTGAACTTTTATTACATGTTCTATTTAGTCCCTAAACTATATAAAAATATTCAATGTAGTCTCGGACTACATTGAGTATTTCCATATAGTTTAGGGACTACATTGAACATGTACCAAAAGTTCAGAGACCACATTGAACAAATTAAAAGTTCATGGACCACATTGCATATTAAGCCAAAATTCAAGGACTATTTGTGTTATTATCCCTAATAATAAAAGAAAGAGGCAAAGCTTTCCCCATTTAACTTGAAAAAAAAAATTTAAGGGGTTGAAAGCTGTTGTCTCGGGACGGTCGGACAGGAAACAATCCTAAGCGAGGTCGGAAGGGGACTAATAGCAAACGTCTCACGAGAAAACGAAAGCAGGGAACTCAACAGATCAATCGAGACGCGAAGTTGGTGAGGCGTGGAGAAGACTTCTGTAGAAGACTTCATAAATAAGCAACATATTAGAGCCAACTTTCTTGGTTGGGAACTATTAAGTCCTTATCAAATCAAAGTCAAATTCTATGCTTTAAATGCCATAGGGTCTCATTTCACATGTATATCTCAAACATTTTATGTCCACAGACTTTATTGGAGAGAAGTACAAAAAAAAAATCCTAAAACTATTTGAATTGTGCCAATTCAATTTTAAACATTTTAATTGTGTTAATCGAGTCCTAAATCTTATGACGATTTGCCAATATAGTCCATCCGGACAATTTTGACATGAAATTGTTGATATGGAAGCCAGCCATCTTAAGTAGCACAGCCGGTGCTGACATTGAGACGGCTGGTGTCGACAATTAAAAAAAGATTAGGTTTTATGAATTTTTTAGTACTTTTTTTGTTGTTTTCTTTTCTTTCCTTTTTCTTTTTTAACTGTGGGCCGGCGAGGTCGCCAGCCAGAGGTGAGGTCCTCGCCCGTGGCTGAGAAGGGTCACGACGCCCTCGCCAGCCCAGAGTTGTAAAAAAAAAAAAAGAAAGAAAAGAAAATTATAATAAAAAAATTCAAAAAAATATTAAAAATTTCTAAAATTTATCCACATCAGCATTGGTTGTGCCACATAGGATGGGCGTCTATGTCGGTAATTTCCGTTAAAATTAGCCGGATAGATTATATTGATAAATCGTCAAAAAAATTTCGACTCATTTGGTACAATTGAAAGGTTCATGATAGAATTAGTACAAATACAATAGGTTTAAGCCTCTCTTTTTTTTTTTGGCTTTTCCCAGCTTTATAGTTTCATGCAATTTTCTGGACTCCACCCTGACAAGATTTGGTGAAGAATAAAATCTACATTATATTCCACATTGTCCATTAAAATAATTGAGTAATCATTTATTGCCAATTGCAACACTCACCACATTTTTGCGGCCATTCTCACCGACAGTTGTGTTGGTAGTGGTTACATGGGTCTCCTCATAATCAATGTCCGGGCCTATAGTAATCAAATCACTTAGATTCTTCATGATGCTATCTACATTGGACATAGGATGAGATAACAAAATGTTCTTACACATAACGATTAATGTAAAGCTACCGTACTATGCACATTTGCGCGATATTACTAATCCAATCACGAAATTTGCTTCTAAATCCTAAGCTCTTGTGTTTAAAAGTCGCGGGAGTTTTGAACCAAGAGCCCACATAGAGTAAACGGATCACCTGGATAATTTTCGAGTTATCACATGACTAAGGAGTCGCTACGCTCTTCAAAGGTTATATTTGTCTCGAGATTTTTATTATCGAGTATCCCAGTCACTTTTTATTTGTTAAGCAATCAAATAAGAAATTTTTTCTCATAGTTTTTTCAGTGTATTACTCTTCTCATGTCATATTCAATCAATTACTTGAAAATGGAAAAATATCTTGTGTACTATATCTACGATTTTGTTAAACAACTACTCAGCACCAAATGAAAAGAAAAAAACTATTATCACCAATGCAATACATTTCTCGCTTTACGTTAATATTTTGACAATCAAAATTATATGTTTCGGATACTTGTTAACAATACCCTTAACGAAAAAATCGGGGAGGAACCCCAAACTCTTGGAAATATCACAGATTGTACACGACTGAAACCTAATTAGTGGAAGTTCCTTCGATTTCATCCTCTTTCTTGGAATAAATCCCTTCCACAATTTCAAGGCTAACCAATCTACCATCAGCCACAGCGAGAGAGAGAGAGCAACAGTGCTGCACAGCATCATTGATTGCTGCAAAAATTTCATGCAACTGCAAAACCAAGCCAATTAAGCCGTTGCATTAATACTCCCACCAAACTCCTTTCCCCACATTTCCCCACCAAGCTTTTCCTCCGTTACGAATCCCTCGTCTATATATCACATACCCATTTCTTGCTCGTCTCTGAAAACTCAGAAGATCGGAGTTACATGCATAGCATGGCACGCATGCATTTCCCACTTCCTAGCAGGCCCTTCTTGTTGCTCCCGCACTTGTTCCTGCTGCTGGCGGCCACCGTGTGCGGAGCCAAAGTCCCCGCAATCATCGTGTTCGGGGACTCGTCCGTCGATGCCGGGAACAACAACGCGATCTCCACCTTCCTGAAGAGCAACTTCCGGCCGTACGGCCGGGACTTCATCGGCGGCCAGCCCACGGGGCGGTTCTCCAACGGCCGGGTCCCGACAGACTTCATCTCGGAGGCGTTCGGGCTCAAGCCGACCGTGCCGGCCTACCTGGACCCGATGTACAGCATCAAGGACTTCGCCACCGGAGTCTGCTTCGCTTCCGCCGGGACTGGGTACGACAATGCCACCTCCAATGTCCTAGTAAGTGCGGAACTATAATCCTCAGTGCCCAACTCTCATCATTCTTCTTTCATCATTGGAAAAGAGATTTCAAAATCTAAAGTAGATTTTCCGGCTGATTTTATCCTTCCACTTTCTTTCCCCTTGAGTGTCTGAACTGCGATATCAATGATTCGATATGGAATCCTAGAGCTGAAATAATAGGCACTGTGCAAGCATAGAAAAACTATTTGAGCCTCTGCCGCGAGACGGGCAACATCGGAAATGTCGAAAGTGAAAGGTCAATTGACAAAATTCAGATTGGGTACTATGTTGCATGCATGTCCATTTATAATTATTTTCACTTTTTTCACAGACAGAAACGACCAGGATAGTCATATAAATAATAACCCCGCGAATAAATGAAAACCCTAGTCATTAGCAGAAGTTTTTACTAGGATATTGTTCTGGGAAGATGAGTTATCTTAGATGAATAAGAACACTAGGAATGCAAAAAAAATCTCTCATTTACTATAGAGAGTGCCCGAGAACTTACATCATACGGTCACCAACTGAGGCATTAATGGCAGTCGTCGCTGTCTGTCGCAGAACGTGATCCCCATGTGGAAAGAGATGGAGTACTACAAGGAATACCAGCAGAAGCTCCGGTCGTACCTCGGCGACGACAAGGCCAACTTCATCCTCTCCGAGGCGCTCTACGTGGTCAGCCTCGGCACCAACGACTTCCTCGAGAACTACTACTCTTCCGTTCCCGGCGGCCGGCGGTCCCAGTTCACGGTGCGGCAGTACGAGGACTTCCTCGTCGAGCTTGCCGCCGGCCAGATAACAGAGCTGCACCGCCTCGGCGTCCGGAAGGTGTCGCTGACGGGGCTACCCCCGATGGGGTGCTTGCCGCTGGAGAGGACGACCAACTTCTTCGGGTTTAATGAGTGTGTGCAGGAGTACAACAACGTGGCAGTGGAGTTCAACGGCAAGCTGAGGAAGGCGGTGAACAGGATGAACCGGCAGCTCCCCGGGCTGCGGATGGTGCTGTCAGATCCCTACGAGCTGTTCCTTGAGATCATCAGGAAGCCCTCTTCCTTCGGTGAGTTATTACCTCTTCACTGGTCTTACAAAGTAGAGCTAATAAATTAAGCGGGCTCGCACCAGATCGGTCCCGAAGGGACCCTCTGACGACCTTCGCGCCTAGCACCTTGCTTAGGCTCATCATTTTTCGAAATGTCCGAGGAGATGTTCGGGGCGGACCGAGGCTGATCCTCGGAAATTAGGGCGGACCAAGTCCTCTAACGTTAAGTCGCGTATGCTCATTCGACCCTTTCGCTTTCTCCGGCTTGAATGTGTCCGAGTGGCTGGTCGGGCACACGAGGTCTACTAACAAGTGCATCAACCCACCAAAGAGTTTAGATGAAATAATTTCACGAGCACATGATTTCCTAACACGTTGATAAACATCACTGTTTCTACTTCTATGCTACTACGTGGAGGGAGCACAATGTCACGCCTTAAATAAACAATAACAACCTTCTAAATCATCTACGAGAAATTTAAAGTGCGAACTTATAAATACCTGTGTCTATAACATCTGCAAAACAAAGAAACTGTGCAATTTCTCTGACGGGGACCGAACCTAAATCAAGACTTTTGTTTGGACGTTGTTTTCTCTTTTCTTGTTCGGTCCATGTTGGGACAACGTTAATAGCCACTGGTTCTGGTCAAGTGACCAGAGCCAGAAGCGCACGGTGACCAATTGACTTCTCCCTGAATGAATTACTACTGACCAAGTCCGAGCCGAGTATGAATGCACAGGCATTAATGAAGAGTTGGCGGGCCGAGCAGGTTTCTTGACCTTTTCACACCACCACCCACACCCACCCCACCCCCCCTCAGATATAAAGTTGTTTGTAGTTGGGTCACTGAACCACGGGTCCCCGACCGCTCAGCCGCGTCACAGCCGATGCGTAGGCCTTTGCCTTTGGACGTGCCTGTTGCTCGTGAGTCCCGGCAAGGCGAGGGCTCGCCTCCTCAGCCTTCGCAATCTCACGGGTCACGGTTAAGATTCAGACCTCTATCGATGTGGGGGTTGGCATAACTTTGATGTCTGTTTTCTTTTTTAATTTTCGGTGTTCTCTTCTTCTTTTTTCCTTTTTTTAGCAGATTTCATCTCCGGTAAGGCACAAGATATTGCATTAGCTTCTCGTGAAAAAAACAAAACAGAAATCAGTAGAAAGATGATCAGAATGCATGAATTCCAAAAAAAAAAAATGAAAAGTTTAGTGTACACTGAATGACCTTAATGAAGGTTCGATGACTCAATTGCAAGATTCGTCAACGTTCAATGCACAAAAAAATAGCACAGACCCAGTCAAATTGATAATGACTTTGTGACTAGAAAATTGGTCGTTGAGGTCTATAATTTTTGTCCAGCCTTGATCACCGTGACTGCTTCTCCAAATCACACTTTAGTTTCTCGTCATTGCTAGTATTTCGCCCTCACGCGCATGCGTGACTTTCTGAAATGCTTTGACTGCAAAAGTGTAATTGAGAAATATATATAAAATCACTAGCTGAAAATTTACATATCTAAGGAAGGTCAAGGTGCAATCGAATTGCAACACTGGCTCTCGTTTGACCATTTTTTTTGCTAAGAATTGCCGGATGATGTGTGAATATAAAGCATGCTAACCCCAAGTCCAAATTCCATCTTCACAGGGTTCAACGTTGCGCAAAGGGCGTGTTGCGCGACCGGATTGTACGAGATGAGCTACATGTGCAATCAACAGAACTTGTTCACGTGCACAGACGCTAGTAAGTACGTGTTCTGGGATTCCTTCCACCCGACGGAGAAGACGAACCAGATACTCGCGGGGTATCTGACCAAGGAGGTTCTCCTACCTGCGTTTTCTTGATCGAGTGTACGATGAATACATGTGATGTGTGACTCATAAATAGACCCTCCGCTTGTCCGGCTATTTGGTGCCGTTCCCATGTGCAAATCGCGATTGTCAGTGTCAAAAATCGTATGGAAAAATCATAGTCGGATCGAACGTGATGAACAATATAATGTATGGAGCTCGAATAACTTCCATGCGATGAAACTATTGATTGATTTGCTTTATTGTATAGTTTTCTCTTTTAGGTAGAAAGCCAATCTATCTATAAGGTGCAATGTGTTTGAAAGGAGACTACTAATAATTACATGTTCCCGAGGTCATTGACTTCACTCTCTTGCGCATGGAAAAGTAGAATGCACGTATCAGGCTCAAGACATAGGGCAAAGTCTCCAGATTGAGCTGACTGTTGGGAATGTCAGGATGTCACTTATTAGCTTTTGAAATGAAGAAGGATTGTCTGTCAAACGTTGGAGAAAAGAAAAACTCATGGGGCAACTCAATATTTAACTAGCGTCTTATCGAATTCATGATGTTAACAGGTATTTCATAACCCGATTTATCTTCATATAAAGGGAAAAAGGACAGTAGAAGTATCAAAAGTTATGTACGGTGCTCACTTTAGTACCAAAAGTTTTTTTCGGATCACTTAAGTGCCAATTCCGATTTGGGTCACCGAAAATCCGATGTGGCTATTTTTTATTAATTTCTCAGCCCTAGTGGCTCGCCGGCATGTCCAGTCAGCATATAGCCTCTAAACGACATCGTTTAAAAGTTGTAAATAGTGATCATTTGAGTGCCAATTTTTTTTAAAAGTAATCACTTTAGTGTCAGTCATTGTTAAAAAGTGATCACTTCAGCGCCAATTGTTATTAAAAAGTGATCATTTTAGTGCTAAGCAATCGCCCAAGTAAGTGCTAGTGCAATTTTGTGCTTTGCATCAGCTGCACAAACATGCGTTGGTGCAAGCACAAACCAGCAGCAACTAACTACACCACCTCGTGTAGCTTGACCAATAAACGCAACTAAGAACCCTTCTTCGACAAGGTAATTTCATTCCTCTCTTTCCTACTTTGTTATGGATAAGGGTCCACGAAACCTATTCGTAAATCACTGAAAATCTAAGTTATTAGTTGATGATTGGTGATGACATTGTTGTTCTAAATACTGATTTTAGATACCACAAGCACATAACTAGTGCAACCACAAGATGCACCAGCACTAACTTTGCACCAACAACACATAGTTGGTGCATCTTGTGGTTGCACCAGCACATACAATAGTTGGTGCAAGCACAACCAACAAAACTATCACACTAGCACAACCAAAAGCAATATATGGAAATGGCAAAAGCATAGACAAAATAAAGTCCATTGATATTAAACTTCGTATTTACATTTGGTCAATTAAAATAACCAACTAGAACATCCCAACATCCAGGGGATGGCTTCCCACAAACAAAAACATTCAACTCAACAGCTAACAATAGGCTTAGGCTTTCCTCGCTAAAGCCCGCTTTTCACTTCAAGTGCTACTGTACTTCGCTTAGGTAGGATGACGGTCTCTACATCAACACTTCTCTTCCTCGGGCCAAGACCCTCCGCTTCAAGGAACCACCGTTGCTGCTGTTGCTGCGCTTCGCCTTCTTAATCTCCACTCTGATCTTGTTCATCACAGCCCGCCTCTTCCTCTTGCTCTTGATCCTGCACGCATTGCACAGAGACTGTAGGACCAAAGCACAGATTGATCACAAGCTACGTCAAAATCAAAACAACTATTGAGTGGTGAAGTAATCTTTGCTGGCTTATCATTCTCCATCACATTGACAAACTCAACCTCAAGGGGAGCTTCACTAGTGTCATAATCATTCAAGTCTTGAGACAAAACTTTTTGAATGCATTTTCCCTCCATGTTGACCTTCCTCGTGATCTTTTCTTCTGCAAGTCTCCCACAAAATCCCAAATGTACTATATTAAAAGCGATTAAACAAAGTATTATCTCCACTTCTGGATGGAATCGTTGCCCAAGACAACTCCATAGGGCTTTTTGCCCCCTTTTAGGCCAAAACTAACAGAGACCTCAGTTACAAGTAAAGAACTAACAATAGTATGACAAATCAAAAGCCCGTTGTAGGCCAATGAAACTCCATATCAGCATAAAGGAAAAAGAGCTCAAAAAAGATATTGCTTATAAAGCTTCCTTAATTGTGAAATGGAATATTAGCCAACTTAAGTTAACATAATTCAAAAAAAATTCAAAGGCATAAATTTTCTTCTTTAAAAGCAATAAGAGACACCTGTTTATGAAAGAGATGAAGTTAGAAACACGCATTGGAGCAACCTCAAAATCGCAGACAAATTAGCAAAAAAACCAACGCACGGAAAAACTGAGAAGATAATCCCTAGAGGAGAGTCGAATTCAGTAATCACCGAGACTGAGGAATGGCGTGATCATCGCGGAGATTGCGATCGTCTTCAACGACGGATGATGGCTCTTCCACCTCTGCACCGAAGACCATCGATCCATGATCGTCTTTGAAGACAGATGATGATGGCTCTTCCACCTCTACACCAAAACCCACAGATCTCCGGAGATCATTACTTCACTGCAAAGCAATAAAATTCAAAAAAACCCTAAACGAGAAACAAAAAAGGCAAGAGCTAATCAGAGCATGTCTTCTTCCCCTCCACTGAAGCTCCGTCGGAACAATCCATTGATCCCTACAACAATAGCGAACCAAATCGAGCGATTTCAACCGCCGAACCAACGCAAGAATTTCGAGATCTCAACGAGATGGTCTCGCATGAAGTCCCGATCAGTGCAACCACTAACCTTTTCACCCAGATCTGGCATTTGCGTCAACTCTCAGTAAGATCTAGCAGATCTCCGAAGCTGGCGAAGTACGACAAACCCTAGCAATTGGTGAAGGACGACCCCTAAGCATCGGGATTGGGGGCGAATAAGCGATCGCACTATGAAATCTATTGAATTGAAGTAGGAAGAAGGAGCTGGAAGTGAATCAAACACAGAATGAGGGATTGAGAGAGAGAGAGAGGTTAGTGATGATCTTGAGGAAGCTAAAAATGGAGCCGAAAAGCACAAACAAAGCAAGAGAGAGAGCGAGACTCTGCCCCGTTTGGTTCAGTATTCTCAATGCTCATTTGGCCTCTAAAGTCCCTTGGCCAAATGCAAATGGCGTTTGGCAATTTTTTTTACTCACTTTGAAAAAATGCAATTGCATTTGGAATGCTCCCAAGGGACCTTTGGCCAATGCACCTCTGAAGGTGCTTTGGGAAGTTGCATTTTCGGAATGCAACTTGTACTATTCATCGACACTGTTCATCTTCCCTAAACCGAGGTCCGGCAGCCGGCGGCCGCCGCTTGAGGGCTAGCCCAACTCCGGCGACCATCGCCAGAGGGTCGCGGGACCCCGGCGACCGCCGCCTGGGGTCGCCGGACCTCGGGCGGTCGCCTGGGTCGCGCGACCCAGGCAACACTTCGCCTGGGTCGCGCGACCCAGGCGATCGCCCGAGGTCCGGCGACCCCAGGCGGTGGTCACTGAGGTCGCGCGACCCCAGGCGGTGGTCGCCGGCGACCAGATCTGGCCGTCGGCGGTTGGCTGGCGACCAGATCTGGCCGGAGGCTAGATCTGGCCGGAGGCGGTGGCCGGCGATGTAGCTCCACCGGAGCTTTTTTTTTTTAAAAAAAAAAATAGCAAAAGTCCTTTAGCCCAAGTTGATTTTATAAAACACTTACCAAACGCTACTTGCATTTCGGAAAACCCCTTTAGCCCAAAGGTATTTGCATTCCCCCAAATGCATTCCCCCAAAGTCGAACCAAACGGGCCCTATAGAGAGAGGGGCAAAAATCCACATGGACTGGATTTTTTAACAAATACGCCAACTCAGCTTATTTTTTTTAATTATAAAATTCACGTAATCATTTTAGCCGGAATTTCTCGCTGTTAGCACTTAAGTGATTGTTTTTTCTCTGATTTGTCACTTAAGTAAGCCGGTAAGAACTTTTGGCACTAAAGTGAGCACTATACATAACTTTTGGCACTTTTGGTATCCTTCTTCCTCATATAAAGTGCTTTCTCATCATAAAAAAAGAAAAAGTAAATATGAGACAAACAAAGCAATTCTAGGAAAGATTTTTCGAGGAAAGAGGGCAACAGGCATTGCAGCTATTACGAAATAGTGGAAATTAACGGATCTTGTAATTCAAGTCAATCGTGGGAGAACCAAATTATTAAAGAAATCAACAAGGAATAATATGGTTCAATTCAAGTGTCGATACCTACTCCATGGGAGAGCCTGTCACAGAAAATCCACTAATCAATCGTAGAATTACTATGATCGCTTGCACACTAAAGTGTTTCTCAATCCACTTTGTCTAGCCTCACATAATTACTCGATAAAATAAATCACGAAGAATACCTCACGACTCAAAATACTCAAGTCTCTGTTAGAATATATAAATGTTTTAAAACACTCCCTTCATGCGTAAGCTAGACTATAACCTAAGTCTAAAGTGTGGAAATATGTTATTGGAGAGGCAAATAAAGGTCTAGACTTTCTATTCTAATTCCATAAGGCTACGTTTGGTAGTCGGGATAAAATTCAGGATAGGATAAATTTTATCATATCCCGTGTTTGGTGCCTGCACAAGATAGGATAAAGTCCGATAGAGGAGGGATGTAGCCCGGATAAAATTATCTGAGGAGGTGGGATAAAGGTGAATAGGATTTCTAATATATCCATAATAAAAAATTTATTTTTCTCGAATAACAAACTTGTTAAATTAATAAAATTAAAATAATATTTGAAAATAAATAAATTTTCAATTTTAATATATAAAATTCAAAATAACAAACAAATAAAAATAATTTCATTTTTATTTATTCTTATTTTTATTTATATAGTCCAATTTTTTTCTATCTTATGATATAAATTTCATATATAAAAATAAATACATTTAGTATGTATATTTTTATTACATATTTTAGGTATATTAGTATATTTTTTATATTTAATAAAAATTTATTAGAGAATTATGGAAGGAGAAAAAAGAATTAAAAAAGAGAGGGAAAATAATAATAAAAAATAAGCAAAAAAAATGAAGTAAGTAAGAGCGTCCTGAGAGATTTTATAATCTTCGTTTGTGCAAACTTTAAGTTCATTCACACCGATATGATGTTCATAGCAAATAATGGACATAGTAAGATATGAAAATATTCGCCTTTATTACTACAATTCACCAAATAATATATGGGATATAGCAAATCCCTTAGATTTCATATTCTATCCTATCCAGTCCTATTCTGGCTAAAAATCTAGACGACCAAACGTAGCCTAAAAGTTTTCGTGAAATTACTGTCAATTGTTCTAAAGGCCTTAATTATTAGATGAAGGCACACCTACATGAAGAAAACACGTCAATTGGGGGTAGAATTCTCCGCACAAATCATCGTGGTTGTTGTCTTCTGCTTCTAACCAGCAATGACAAACATACGAACCTCAATACCCCACTAAATGCATCATTTTACACAAAAGAAGCGAGCCTTGGTAGGAAGGTGAACATGCCCCCACACGAGGAATTCTAATCCAAATGGGGAAGTGAATTATTAGGATTTCTTTCCTACAATATTCGGTTTAAAGTACCGATCAACGGCCTATCCTCCAATCTGGTCAGGCCGCATGCACCTGTTCAAGCTCGAAATATTAAGGGTGCGTATGATAAACATTCTGTTCCAGAATGAATTCCTGAAACAGAAATAGATTTTTCTATTTCTGATTCCAGGATGAGTTTCTGATAAAAGAAACCTGTTTGATAACGACCAAAAATTTCTATTTCTGGAACAGAAACCCGTTTGATAACAGCACAAAATTTCTATTTCCTGAAACAAAAACCCGTTTGATAAACAACACAAAATTCTATTTCCAGGAACAGAAATCCATTTTTTTAGAAATGGAATAAAAATAATTAGAAAATCCGAAAAATTCCTAAAAATCTCAAAAAAATTCAGAAAATCCAAAAAAATTGAAAAATTCCAGAAAAATTCATCAAAATGTCGAGAAAATAAAAAAAAATTCAGATTTCGGGAATATAGGAAATTGTTGAATTTTTTTTTAAAAAAATCAAGAAATCAAAAATTTCAAAACTTCACAGAATTGCTTAAAATACCTGTGTCCACCTACTTTTTGAGTAAATTTTAATATTTTTGAGATGCCTAAAAAAATAAAAAATTTCAAAACTTCACAGAATAGCTTAGAATACTCGTGGCCAACCATTTCGAGTGAAATTTAATTTTTTTGAGATTCCCAAAAAAAAATTAAAAAAAAATCAAAAATTTCAAAACTTCACATAATGGCTTAGAATACCTGTGGCCACCCACTTTGAGAGAAATTTAAATTTTTTTAGGTGCCGAAAAAAAATAAAAAAATAAAAAATTTCAAAACTTCACAGAATGGTTTAGAATACCCGTGGCCACCCACTTTGAGCGAAATTTAAATTTTTTTAGATGCAAAAAAAAATAAAAAATAAAAAATTTCAAAACTTCACATAATAGCTTAGAATACTTCTGGCCACTCACTTTGAGTGAAATTTAAATTTTTTGATGTGCCCAAATGGTATTTTTGATTTTTTGCTTTTTTAATTTTTATTTCATCACCTAAAAAAAATTAAATTTCACTCAAAGTAGGTGGCCACAGGTATTCTAAGTCATTCTGTGAAGTTTTGAAATTTTTTACTTTTTTTTTTCGGCACCTAAAAAAATTTAAATTTCGCTCAAAGTGGGTGGCCACAGGTATTCTAAGCCATTCTGTGAAGTTTTGAAGTTTTTTATTTTTTTTATTTTTTCGGCACCTAAAAAAATTTAAATTTCGCTCAAAGTGGGTTGCCACAAGTATTCTAAGCCATTATGTGAAGTTTTGAAATTTCTGATTTTTTATGTTTTTTTGGGAATCTCAAAAAAATTAAATTTCACTCGAAATGGTTAGCCACGGGTATTCTAAGCTATTCTGTGAAGTTTGAAATTTTTTATTTTTTTTTATTTTTTTTGGGCATCTCAAAAAATTTAAAATTTACTCAAAAAGTGGGTGGCCACATGTATTCTAAGCAATTCTGTGAAGTTTTGAAATTTTTGATTTCTTGATTTTGTTTTGAAAAAATTCAACAAATTTCCTATTTTCTGAAATCTGAATTTTTTTTTATTTTCTAGACATTTTAATGAATTTTTCTGGAATTTTTCAATTTTTTTTTTGCGTTTTTTGAAGAGAAAGAGTTCTCTCATAAATGATTCTGATTTTTGTTCAAGAAATAGAAAACCTACTTTTTTTTTGTTCTAATTTCTGGTCCAGAATCGGTTCTGGAACAAAAAGTTGTTCCAGAAATAGAAAAATGAAATTGCGTTACCAAACAGATTTCTAGTCTAAAACTATTTCTAGGATCAGAAAACTAGTTCTGGACAGAACCAGAATGATTACCATGCGCTACCTAATTAACCGCCGCTCATTTTATTTTGTACATAATGGAGGAAGCTCCATTAATGGCCAGATCAAGGCCACCTCCTTTGCTGGTGGAAAACTTTCAATGCTGTCACTTACATTTGAAGTTCTTTTTGCTTTCCAAGTCCTTTCGCTATCTTGGGCGGTTGCAACCACATGTTGATGCCATTAACTCTCTCTTATGCTCTTTTAATGTCTTCTCGTGGACTTTGGTGCCAATGCTGTGTTCTCTTTCGGTAGAGCGGTTGGGCAAGATCCGTCACTGTGCCGTTCGTAGTTTCCACTTTCATAATTGCGAGTCATTAAATGACACTTTGGTGACGCCAGTCGTTGGATGATAGACGCGCTAAAAAAGTTTCAGAGGAGTGTGCGTTTTTGTCAAACACCCTGCTGCATGAATGGTTTCTTTCGTGACATGATGAGTTGACTGTCTACGGCAATGGCCTCAGTCCTTTCTGATCTGGCTCCGTACGAGCTTAAAACGAAATGGGGTTGGATGAAACTGCACTGACGAGTGCATGATGGAACTGTGAGTGCCGTGCCACACGAATGATGAATCGTTCTTCAAGTTCAAGGATTTGAGCTGTGTATTGACACCATCAGAATCTTATGAGTTCACCGAAGGATATAAGAGAGAATGAGAGAGTTGCAGTTCTAATCTTTACTCGAACAATAAGTATGATGATGTCTCAGATCTTAAACTGAGCAGTGATCAAGGAAGAAACTGTTCAATGGTGGTCTTAAAACCAGCCTTTTTGTTGGATTTGACGATGCGCAGCTACTCTTCTCCTGTATGTTATTTCGGAGTCTGAACAAACCCTAGAAACACCTTCAAAATTACGTGTATACTTAGCACAAAATCAAAATCTCTCAGGCCCAACCATTAAATCATGCCAAGTACAATCCAACCGGTACACATTTAACAATTTCAACGACCTCCTCCACCTTAAAAACCCTACCCAACATCTCTTATTTATGACAAACCCCCTCATCACAACACCCTCCAATCTCCCCTCAAGCACCATTACACAGCAAGACGAAGTAACAAAAAATGGCCCTCATCCAGTACGACATTGCGCTGCTCCTGCATTTCCTCTGTTTGGTCACGACAGCAAGCGCCAAAGTCCCGGCACTAATTGTGTTTGGAGATTCCACCGTCGATGCGGGGAACAACAACTACATCCCTACTATCGCCAGGAGCAACTTCGAGCCCTATGGTCGGGACTTTTACGGCAGCAAGCCAACCGGGAGGTTCTCGAACGGCAGGATCCCATCGGATTTCATTTCAGAGGCCTTCAAGATCAAGCCAAGCATTCCCGCGTACTTGGACCCAGCTTTTAGCATATCGGATTTCGCCACCGGAGTGACCTTTGCCTCTGCAGGAACAGGTTATGACAACGCGACATCCGATGTGCTCGTAAGTCTCTCTTCTTAAGATACCATATGTAGCTAGATTGATGCATCTGTTTAGTGGAATGTGTAGATTATACCTAGGTGAATAGTGGCATCACTATCAAAAAAATTTCACGAAGACAAAAATCGTGAAAGACTAATCTAGGTAAGATATAACATCACGGCTTAAGAACCTCAATCCACGAAATGAATTGTTGAACATAAACTGATATCGACGAAATGAATTTTTTTTCTTTTTCTTTCCTTTTTTTCCAGATAACGAAGAACTGCAATTCCAAGATATTAGGTTAACCATTTTTTAGGCTCCGTTCGTTTGGCGGAAAATATTCTCCTTTTGGAAAATATTTTCCCGGAAGTTATTTTCCTGAAAAATGTTTTCCCGGAAAATAATTTTCCGTTGTTCGGCGACCAATATAAAAAAGTTTCGGAAAATATTTTTCGCCGGCGACCGGTGGCGGCGGCGGCGGGCGGCGAGTGACCGCCGGCGACCGGCGGCGGCGGCGGCGGCGGCGGGCGACCGGCGACCTGCCGCGGGCGGCCAACGGCGGTGACCGGCGATCAACTTCCTCTCCCACGGAAAACATTTTTCCTCCCATGGGCAATTTTGCCTTCACTTTAGGGGAAAATGATTTCCTCTTTGTGAAAAGAGGAAATCATTTTCCTCAAAACAATGAAGGATTTGGGGGTGGGGAAGGAAAATGTTTTCCGCCCCCGAACACCGGAAAACGCGAAAAATGTTTTCCGGAAAAATATTTTTCCGCAAACGAACACAGCCTAAAGTGGCGTTATCATAATCACGTGTTTATCTTTGCCTTGCAAGTCTGTGATACCCCTGTGGAAGGAACTTGAGTACTACAAGGACTACCAAAAGAAGCTAAGATCGCACCTCGGACCGAGCTCCGCGAACCAGGTGCTCGCCGATGCGCTCTACATGATCAGCATGGGCACGAACGACTTCCTCGAGAACTACTACACGATGCCGGGCCGCCGCTCGCAGTTCACCGTGAGGCAGTACGAGGACTTCCTCGTCGGGATTGCCGAGAAGTTCGTGAGGGAGCTCTACGGCCTTGGGGCCCGCAAAATATCGCTCGGGGGGTTGCCGCCGATGGGGTGCCTGCCGCTCGAGAGGACGACAAACGTGATGGACCAGCACGAGTGTGTGGATAGCTACAACAACCAGGCCTTGGAGTTCAACGCCAAGCTGAAGGTTATGGTGGCGAGGCTGAGCTCGGTGCTGCCTGGGATCAACTTGGTGTTCTCTAACCCGTATTACATCCTCATGCACATCGTTCGGAGGCCTGCTTTTTACGGTGAGCCCTCTTTAATCAGCTCTATTCTTCGTATATATCCGTATAACTTCGTGTTAAGTCAACATTTCGGGCAGCTTGTTGCATGCCATAATAAGCATTAGTCACATTCAAGAAAAGTATTCATTAAACAAGTCACGGGACAAGGGGTGAGGATGCGACCTAAAGTAGTATGTATATATGCATGCTGATTTATAGTGTATGCGTGGCTCTGGTGCTAGGTAGATACGTGCATCACTTGTAAATTTGAATCTATGAAATCAACCATAGTATATGGCTTCGTCTTTCTCTTGGTATCGACAATATCACGTAGCAAATCACTCGAATTCGTACAATTGTATATTAATCTCATGATCTGGGTCTAGGAAAGCTCGAATTGATCTTGAATCTCATCTCATTTAGGATGCAAATAGAGTAAAATTTATATCGTGTTCGTTCAATTGCCAGCACGATTTCCCCAACGCTCTTGGATGTTTGTAGGGTTCGAGTATACATCGGTCGCATGTTGTGCGACGGGACTGTTCGAGATGGGATACACATGCGCACGAGACGGCCTCCTCACGTGCCAGGACGCGAACAAGTACGTGTTCTGGGACGCTTTCCATCCGACCGAGAAGACCAACCGCATCATCGCCGATTATGTCGTGAGGACCGTCTTGGCCAGATTCCTTTGATCACTGCCCACCATCTACTACTTATCCATATGCAATTCGATATCGTATGATACTACATATAATAGAGTCTATGTCTTTTCGTAGAGTCTACAATGCTCTTAATGACTACATGTCTACGTGATCTTGTGGATAGTGTAAGCACTTTGCGCCAGTGCTATTGGGTGTGATGCTTAGAGTTTTAGTCGTATGAAGTTTGGTGTACTTGGATTTGATAGGATAAAATAATCATCTTGAATATTTTTTTTTTTTATATCTTACTATGTATTTATCTTTGAAAATCACCCTGCACGTCTATATTACCACGGGACGTTAGTGGCAATTGCCAATTGAGTCTTAAATCAATATCCGTGGTTTTGTATAAGAGTTATTGGCCTTGAGACATCGCACAAGTTACGCGACACAAATTTGATAGGTTATCCTGAAAATCGATGATTCGGAAATAACCAAATAAGCATTACTAATTCAATATAGGATTCATTCGAGGAAAAGTATCAAAAAAGTCATAAATCTTTTGCATTAATATCAATTTAATCCTAAACATTTTCGTGTTTTGCCAATTGAGGCCGGAAATTGCTGACATTGATACCGGCCGTCCTATATGGCACAGCTGGCGTTGACGTGGACATTTTTTTAAAAGGTTAATTACGAAAAATCCCAAACTAGTACACCTGTGATAAATTTACCCCAAACTAATTTTTTGATCACCAAAAATCCTAAACAGGTACACCTGTTACAATTTTACCTTTGTTAGTTTATGTTAATTTTACCGTCAAATTTCTGAGTTATATGACACGTGGCAGTTGACGGGTGTACTGGTTTAGGTTTTTACCCTCCGTTTGTCACAAATATACCAGTTTGTGATTTTTCGTGGTATTAATCCAATTTAACGGAGGGTAAATTTGTTACGAATGTATCAGTTTGGGGTTTTTTATGGTCAAAAATTATTTTTGGATAAATTTGTCACAGGTGTACCCGTTTGAAGTTTTTCGTGGTATTAACCCTTTTTTCAATAAGTTTTTTCGATTTTTTTTTCTTTTTTTTTTCTTTTTTCCTTGTTTTCAAAACGTGCAAAGGTTTATGATTAAAGTTCGACAAAAAAAAATCCGTTCAATTAAAAGATTTATGATTGAATTGGTATCACTGCAATCAATTTAGGAATTTTTTATACTTTTCCTGAGTCACTCGTTTATCGACAAGTTATATCGAGACACATGTCATCCTGTCCGGTGGCGAACGATTCTTTAGATTTCTTGATCAGTTTATCGACCGTTTGATGTGGACGTCGGAGTGGGAAGAGCTGTATTTCTCCGTAAATGGCCAATGAAAGCAACCGATTTTTGAAAAGTTTTCGAGGACTTATAGGATTTCGGGGTTGACAAATCTCCTCGCTCGCACCGCGCGACACGACGGTCTTCGTTCGAACCGTGTCACGTAATTTTCATCCAGAAACAAAAAAGAAAAAAGCAAAACCGTGTAATATAAGAGTAATAAGTCTGTCGTATTGGTCTTCCGATTTCCGGGCACAGCACCACTCCAACTCGAAGCGCGTGCCGCTCACACGCGCCCGACTTTTTGCATTTTGTTTATTTGTCTTTGGTATAAAGGCAATAACTTTTACCCGGTCAATTCTTTTTGAGCCACGAAAAAAAACGAAGGAAAAATTCTTTTTGGAGCTTTTTTTATTTTTATCTTTTTCGCTTCGATGCTGTTGGGGCAACTCGATGTCAATTAGAAAAATCCGGTCTTCGTTTTCTTTGAACGTTTCAATCCTCTTCCTTTCTTGACCATTCTGTAATTACTACTACAGTCACGAAAGTCCAAAAACTGTTAAGGAAGGGATTTCAAAAAATCGATGTTGACTGAGATTGAAATTACGTCTTTCTTAGAAAAGCCTGCATCCTTTATGGACCACACTAAATGAGGACTAAGCTCATATGAAATGTAATACCTTTTTTTTTTGTCAATTGTGAGTTTTGGAATGATTAATTTAGGATCAACATGTGTAAATGTCGAATTTGCCTTTTGAATTGGGAAGCACCTTAAGGTTTTATTTATTTTCCATTTTTATTCTTTTTAGATAAAACATTTAAATATAAAGAGAAAAATGGCCTAATAAGCGGATTTCGAGAAATTCGAAACAGTTTGAGCTTGCCCAATGAGTGGGTCTTATTGTCAAGCCAAGAGCAAAGTAATTGATGAAGATTACAAAGCCCTCCTCGGGTGCTATAGGACGACCCTCAATAAAGTTAAAAAGATCCTGAAATAGAATAGTACCCTCCATGTAGAGTTTCGACGAGCTTTATTTAATATTAAGTTTGTTAGATAAATAATTTTGCAGTAAATGCAAAGTATTTGAAAGTGCAAAATAATACGGTTATGCATGTGTATATGTGTGACATATTTGTTAAAACTCCTCCTCACATGTTACAAGAACTTACATGTGATCAAATAAGAAGTAACAAATAGAGAATTGGCAAATAGACCGAAAATAATAGGAGTTAATACACTAAATTACATGTGAAACAAAAAGTATCCCAACCCAAATTCATCGTCTACACATTGATGGCATCAACTATTCGTTTCAAAGATTACACGGTCAACAACATATATCAATATATCGCATCGAATTTAAACTTTCGATTACATCTTAAACAGACAAATATGCTTCAATCGTGGGTTTTTGACCTCTTCGAAGCACTATTTCAAAAATCCCCAATTAATTATCGACACAATATCCACCGATGGTATTGCCAGCATAGTAATAATACCGGCATTTATTGAAATGATTCTTGGAAAAAATTCTATCAGCTCTTTCATTTCAGAAACCCTAAAACCAATATTATACTTTTCCTCTACTATCAAGAAGGCGCGTAGGCGTGTCTTTCTTTTCTTTCTCATATTCCCGACCCAATAAAAAAAGGCTGGATCTTTTCAAACCCACCACCGTTATTCAAAGTTCAAACTCCTCTCAAGTCTCAACCCAATTCGCAAGAAAGAAGCAAGAGATTCTCAACCCATTTTGGCAAGAAAACATCCATCCATCGCGACCTCTCTTCCATGGCCAAGCTCTACAACAAGAAAGGCAAGGTCCACCCGTCGCCGCCCTCCGTCGCGGACCAGCTGGCCCTCCTCCCCGCGGCGATCCTGACCCTCGCGGCGGCCCTCGCGCCCGGCGACCGTGAAGTCCTGGCCTACCTCATCTCGTGCTCCAACCACACTACTAGCCGCCGGGGAGTCGGGAGCGACGGCCGCAAGAACGGGGAGCACGAATTTCCCGGCGAGGGGGACCACCCCCCGATGTTCCAGTGCGGCTGCTTCCGGTGCTACAAGAGCTTCTGGTCGCGCTGGGACGCGTCGCCGAACCGCCAGGCGATCCACGAGATCATCGACGCGTACGAGGACGGGCTGTTCCGGAGCAGAGGGAAGGGCTCGAACGCGAAGAAGAAGAAGCAAAGGAAGGGCCGGAACAGGGTTGCCGATTGCGGTGACGACAGAGCCACGGCGGAAAGAACCGCAACCGCGGAGGACGAATCGGGCGAGCAGGGGATCGGCGGCGGCGGCGGCGACGACGAAGCGGAGGCGGCGGCTGCGGCGGCCGGTGGCGGCGCCGGAGATGGGGAGGCGGGATCGGAGAGGGGGGCGGTGAGGAAGATCGCCAGTTTCATCGGGGAGAGAATCTGGGGTGCTTGGAACAGGGTGTAAAAGGTCATCTTCTTCTTCGTTCCCACCCATCTCGCAAAGGATGATTCATTCTTTTGGTTCCTGCTTCTCTTCCAGTTTCCGAACAATCTCTCTGTTCCCTGTAAATGACCGTGTTCATAACGGGGCCGCGTAGTGTAACTCTTTTTGCCCATCACTGGGTTTGGTTTCAGCTAAGTTTTTTGAATCTCAAGAGTAGTAATGTAACGTTTCCTCCTCTTTGCCAATTCGCGTCCTTCTTGATCGATCTTGTTCGAGCAGTCAAGCGAACCGCTCCGACATCGGTCTCGTCTGGTCGAGGATGTTCTTGAATTTCGTGGATTCTGCACTGCCATGTCGAGTGGAACGGCGGTGACACGTGTTGCTTGTGTTTGGTAGGAAAATGGGGAACGGTCAATATTCTGCAGCTAGCGTTGTTCAACCGCAGAGGACCAGAAAGAAGGCTCGCGGTCGTTTCTTTCGGTCGGAAAAGTTGACTGTTGTGGCATGAAGGATGGCTAGGGCGAGGGGGAAGAGTTAGTTCCCACTTGTTTTTTTTTTTTTTAACTTTATAACTGGTAATTGCGAAAAAGTTCCAGAAAATCGACTAGACTAGCTCACGGGCCCGAAGGAAAGATGTGAAGTAACTATGGAGGCCGATGTTGCATAAATGTCTGGTTCATCGGATATTGATGCCATCTAGACTTCCCTGTTGGAAAAGATAAAGTATTTTGCGTGGTGGATACACCATGTTATAGTGATGAAATGTCATCTTACTTTGCGCCTTGTGTGTATATCTGCGTACATGCATCTCACTTCCGATTTATTTTCTACACAACGTATCGACAATATGCGATACATTAGTTAAACAATATAGCTTCATTGAGAGAGAGATTTGAGCCCATCGGTTTAACCTTGCATCGATTCTTTTCTTTGAAAACTCGTCAAGCTTTGCTTTAGAAGCGCTTTGATAGTTCGATATTCGGTTGAAGAAACTCAAGTAAAGTGACTTTGAAGCCGAAGGAAGTGTTGGAGATATCTCCTGTTAATAAGTTAAAGGCTAGTTTGCGGGCGATGTGTAATAATTACGACTCAATTCGAACATTATGTAGAGGGTGTGGGACCTTTATATAGCTCTAAATAAAATCGCTAATGTTGGTTGTCCCTCTCTACTCTATTATTAACAAAAAAAGAAAAAGCCAAGGCTAATTTTTTTTTGGACATATCTAAGGCTAATCTATGTGTACATAAAATGAGAAAGTGTTAATTCATACGACATCATAAGAATCGATGCAAATCACAAGATATCTCGCCTCAACCAAACATTTCAATCAATTGGTCCAACTTTCCTTAATAAACAAAGTAGATTAACCACAGACAATTGTTGTCCAAATTTATCCAAAATATTTATAAAAAAAAGTGCAATAAATTGAGTGGTTGGTAGATTAATCAATTTGATGGTTCGATTAGTTTGAGGAATATTTGCCCAAAATAGACCTCACAAGAAACATTATACCAATGTCCAGTGGTAGGTCAATGGTCTTTCTCTCACTTGTTGTAACGATTTTGGAGAAGTTTTTAAGTCAAATTTTGGACAGAATCTATATAGATGACCGGTTCCATTCTTGAATCTCTATGCCCCGTGTTCTCATTTTTCTTCATAGGGTATACCAATATTTGACTTTAATGCTATCTTTTTCATGTATTCATTTTTTACCTCCGCTATCGGAATATTTTAATCCATATTAAATTGTCATCATCAAAGGATAAGTACCCATTAAGTAAGGTAAACAAAAATTATCCTTTTCTCAAGAATTTTAGTCAAGAAAAATTTTCAAAAAGTCCTAAACATATTGTATAGCGGCCAATTCAGTCCTAAACCTCTCGATTTTGCTAATGTAGTCCTAAACCTTTTGAAAACTTTTCAAATATGTCAATTTGGTCATAAACCGTATGATAACTCGCCAATTTAGTTTTAAATCTTCTAACGATTTGCCAATTTAGTTCTAAATTTTTAACGATTTTCCAATTTTTTCCTAAATAAATTAACGATTTGTCAATTTATACAATTGATTTAAGACTTTTTGGACAATTTTTCATTTTCTCAATAATTCTTTTAAAATGAGTGGGCTTGAGCGACTCGTTGGGCCAGACGCCCTTCAATTTCGCAAGCGGCCCACAACCAAAAGGGCCCATCACGCTTCCGGCGCACGTTAGCCTTCTCCGCCGCCAGCTTTCACGAAACTCTCGATTTTCCAATTCACGTCCCTCGAATCCTAAACTTCTCGATCCTCGCGCCCCGAACGGAGGACCCTCCCTCCGATCGATCCCCCCCGCCGACGAGATGGACGCCCTCTTCGACACGATCAACGTCCGGGACCTCCTCTCCGCCGGCGACGTTGGCGACCCGGCGTCCCCGCTCTCTGCCCCCGACCTCCGCCTCCTCATCCAGAGGCTCGACTCCCACTCCCGCGGCATCAAGTCGCAGGTCCAGTCCTACCTCCTCTCCCACCACGCCGACTTCTCCGCCCTCTTCTCCCTCTGCGCCGACGCCGCCTCGCGGACCGACGACGTCGCCGCCGAGCTGGGCGGCGTCCTGCGGCTGGTCTCCGACCGCCCCGTCGACGTCCAGATTGGGGAGGCCGTGTCCGAGATCGAGGTCAAGACGAGGGAGGCGAAGCTGAGGAAGGAGCTGCTGGAGCTGGTGAAGGTCATCGCGAGATTGAGCGAGAGGTTTGGAGGGGCGAGGGAGGCGCTGAGGAGCGGGCGGCTCAGGTTCGCCGCCGAAGAGATTAGGAAGCTGAAGTTGGCGGCTAGAGTTTGCGATGCGGAGGAAAAGGTTGCGGGGAGAGAGCCTGTGGTGTATGGGCTGTTGAAGGCTCAGTGGCACGAGTGTTTTGAGGAGGTGAATTTTCTTCCTCCCTTTTTTTCCCATTTTAATTCAAGATTGGTTGATAAGGGACTGGACTGAGCTCCTGAATTTGGGCTTTTGTTTCGTTGAAAAGCTTTTAATTGGTGATCTTTTGAGTTCACGATTGTCCTTTGAGAGATTTTGGATTTGGGTTGCTAGATACAAGAGCTTTTCTCGAGGTTTGTGGAAGATGCAGTCCGATTTGAGCAGCATTCTAACAGAACTCGGGTGAAATACCAGCTTAGTGTCGATGGAATTGCTGGGGTAGATTTCCAAGAAGTTTTGGAGTCAATGGAGGTGAGTTTGCGCTTATGCTTGAGTAGAATTTATGCAGTTCCACTTCCCATTGTAATCTTCAGATGAAGATTATATAAATTGGTGAAGTACTTTCAATTATGGTAGCAAACTCCTGCGGTAGATAGGAACTAGCCATGGCAAATGGAATCTCTCTATTTCTTAATGTATTTGGTTCGCTTGGTGGCAAGACACCATTTTTGCAAGTTCACATTTTGACATTGTTCATGTTCATTCTAGGTGGTCGGCCTTTTAGATTATGGACTTGCTAGAGTAGCTGATTTGATGATCAAGTATGTTATCACACCAGTCATTAATTCTGGATCGGCAATTGCTTTTGTAGAAGAATTGAAACAAGAGTCAGGAAAAATGACTGAGGCATTTTTGAAGATGGTGCAGTCTCCGGATCAGAAGGTGATTATTATGAACGTTTCTTATAGGTGATATATTGAGCCACATTCTCTGAATGCAAAAAGAATCTTCTTTGGTGAAGAATTTACCAACCCATGGTTTATTTGTTTCATTTGTTTATTTGTTCTTACAGATTGGAACTGTGGATAGCGAGATGATCTTTTCCAAGATTATTGAGATTGTTAAGTTTATTTGTGAATGCATTTGCTTCAAAAATGATTCGTGGATTCGATCTTTTGGAAGATTGACATGGCCAAGGATATCAGAGCTGATAATAATTAACATCCTCTCCAAGGTTAGTTGATTGAGCAATCAAATTGCCTTTGATACAGTCACTAACTATTCATGCTTGGGTGCTAGAAGTATGAAGTCATCCGGAGTTTGTGCTTGAAATAATCTCATGACTTGAAGCAATATAAGTTCTAAACTATTATGTCTACAATGGCATATATATTACATTCAGCAATATTGGTAAGATTATGAGGTGCTTGGCTGCAGTGGTGGGACATTTAAGTTTTTGTCCCTGTGACATTGGAAATAGGAAAATTCTCTGCCTCATCTAGCCGTTTCATATGTCAAATTATTTGTTCAGCTGATAAAACATTTGTTATGACAACGAAGTCCACCTTAGGCAGGTAAACCTGGACCTATGATATCCCCATAGCTGGTAAATTGCTACATTCTCCCTTTCCAGAGTTCACTCGATGTGGCTTGGAACACAAATTCTGCCAGCTGACAAAGTACCTCGTAATTGGGAACAGAGTCTTTATCCGAGTTCTTCCCATGATGTTGTGCTATAGCTTATGTGGTCATGCTTACTTTATAAGAATTGTCAATTGAAAGTTTCTTCTCTTCCGTCTCAGGATTTTATTTGTCTTATTTTACAGAGCACATTGATGTGAATTCTTGTCTGTATTTTGGTTGAGGCACTTTATATGAATATAGACACTGCCTCATAGATTTTAGAGCATGTCAACTGGCTTTTGACATCCTTAAGACTACTACTTTCAGGTTGTTCCAGAAGATGCTTCTGAACTTGCCAATTTTCAGAAGATCATTGAACTGGCAACTGGATTAGAGACAGCTTTGAAGGACTTACGGCTTATTTCATCCTCTGATAAAAAGGATGAAAGATTGAGCAATTTCACCGAAAATATTGAGGTTCACTTTGCATCAAGGAAGAAAAAGGAAATCTTAGGAAAGACCAGAAAGCTGCTTCTAAGTTGTGATTTTGCCATTCCACAAGTGAGATTTTTAAAATGTTCTACAGATATTTCATATTTGCCGCAAGTTAGCTTTTTCGCTGACATTTGTCTGGCAGGAATATACTAGGCAACGTCATTCACCAAAAGATGCTGAAATCACTGAGGATCCTTCTGCTCATGCTGTTGACTTACTTTTTCTGTCAGAGAAATGTTTGGTTTCTGAAGCTGCTTCTGGATTGATGAAGATAGTGCATGATACTCTGAAAGTAAGTAAAAACTGTGCATGATGTAGGATGAGACACTCGTGTTAAATTTTGCCTTACAAATATGTTCAAATCTAGAAAAAGAAGTTCCGTTTTACATGGCGGAACTATTGAAATGACCATTATGTCATAGAATATTAACTTGCCATGTCTTAGGCAAGTGCACTTTAATTACTTATGCTGCAGAAGTGAGGGTATACATGTAGACTTTAATTACTTTAAAACTATATTTTGCAGCAGAATTCTAATTGCAATATCTAACTGCTTTGATTGGTAATGTAAATACTTTAACGTTTTTTAGTGAATGTCATAAAGCTTGTTGTTTATCTTTATGGGACAATATCGTTGTTCCATTACTGTTCATAGTCTTAATCTGTGAGAAACATAACTCTCCATGCCTTCCATTTTGGTTGCCTAGCATTATATATGAAGGGTGCCAGTGGCACAAAATGATGGTTTTATTTTATAGAACAGAGAGAAACAAAGAAAATAGGATAATTGTGACTTGTGACCTCATGCAGGATGTTTGCTCATCGTCCACTAGAGTTGCGTTGGAACTGTACCATGCTGCAACGGATGCTATTCTTCTTTACGAGGCTATTGTTCCTGTCAGGGTGAGTGACATGACCAGCATATGCATAACTATGGTATTAACATGTGATATTGTTGTATATATACTAGAGTTTGATTTGATGTCTGCACTGGAAAATTTTCTTGGCTAATGATATAGAATGGTCAAGATTGCTGCTTTTCCCCCCTTGCCTGGAGTGAGTAATAATTTGTATTGTAATTAGATAAGAGGGTACAGACAAAAAACTCAACAGTTTCCTGCATGTTACTACATACATCTCTGTATATGATGTGATCTTGATGGTCACTTTTGGGTTATGAAGCAAGAAAGGCAGCTTGATGGCATCAACCAGGTTGCTGTTCTCATGCACAATGACTTCCTTTATCTTGCTCAGGAAATACTCGGCCTCGCATTCCAGGTAGGCGTGTATGAATCTGTTGGTTTCTAAGAGAAGTTTGAAAATTTGAGGCCTGGTGTGGTTTCCTTTTTTCTATGAATATCAACAAACTGCTTTAGAATTACTTGAAGAAGATTTTCTAATAAGATTGCCCACATTAAATGTGATGTTCCAGTACCGCCCTGACTTCCCAAATTCCATTAAGGAGCATGCTGTTTTTGTTCATTTGGCACCAAGATTACATTTGAAGGCGGAAGAAATGTTGCAACGACAAATTCAACTTGTAATTTTCAATTTAAAAAAGGTAAGACTTTCTATGTAGATGCACCTCAGTCATTTGTGGCAGGGTGAGATCCTTGAAGTTACCTGCCTCTGTTATTCTGGAAGTAACTTTACTTTTCACTCTTTGCTAATATTGATTATTATCAGGCCTTAGACAGTGCAGATGGATTCCAGAATACTCATCAAATGCAGCAGTTTGAATCTGCTAAATTCAGTATAGACCAGGTATTTTTGCTACAGGTTTTATTTTTCTGCTTCTGCTGTCTTTATCTCCTGGTCTGCATCTAATTCTTGTTAATTAGGTGGTTTTCAATCTAGAAAAAGTGCACATCATATGGGAGCCCCTCTTGCTGCCTTCAATCTATCATAAGAGCATGTGTCTTGTCCTGGAATCAGTTTTTTCCAGAGTCGCTCGGGACATACTCTTTTTGGATGATATGGCGGCAGAAGAAACATTACAGGTACTTAAGTTCTCGTTGGTTGTTTCTGCTGGTTTCTGCCAGAAGTGGTCTAATACATGATTCATTTCAGCTCCAGAGGCTTATATACCTGATGCTGGAAAGTCTGTCTGATTTATTCCACTCCCTGAATGCCATAGACCAAGAGGGACAGTCACAAGATTCCTCTTTACGCTCCCTTGATGATTTCATGCCATCTCTTCGTAAACTTCGTAAACTGGCAGGCATGCTCTCTTACGATTCTCAAAATTTTCTTCAAATTCGCGACCCTAACTTCTGTACTGCAAATCTGATTATTGTGTTTCATTCTTGCACAACTCAGAGCTGTTGGATATGCCTTTGAGATCCATTACAGCAGCTTGGGAAAGTGGTGAATTGGTCACTTGTTGTTTCACATTGCCTGAGGTACTATTTATGACGTATTCAGGCAATCAGTACACTTGTTAAGTCGCTGTTTTGTTTTACATCAAACTCTTCTTTGTAAACTGTTATGCTGTTTCGGTGTTAGAAGTACTTTAATCAGGAAGGGAAATAGCTGTGGGTTTCCACTATCTAATTGGAGTTTGTTCATTTTTCATACCATATGTGTATACTCCTGTTTTTGTTAGATTCTTCTTTGCCTTTTTGGTCAGATAATTCGTTGCTCTTTGAACATGCTTTATGGTGACATGTTTACAGATCAAGGATTTCATCAAAGCTATATTTACCGATTCGCCTCTAAGAAAAGAATGCCTATGGAGGATAGAAAATGCCAGCTTCTAAAAATTACTGGATGACTGCGTCCATCTGTTTTGAAGTCCAACTGAAAGAAAGGAATGAGCAGTCTTCTTTTTGGCTACAGCTTCATCATTAACAGCGTTCCTTCCTGGTATAAGCTATGCGGGATTACCTCGTGGTGTAAATTTCTTCTTTTTCTTTCTTTGGCTAGATTTTCTTTTTCTTGACATTCTGTTGAGGGAGTTTGAGGGAAGAAAAGGGCATACTTCTCGAGTCCGGAGGGATTTTTCTAGGGCCACTATGTTGTAAATTAAGATATATGGGTCCAACTTCCTGAGTTATTGATAGAGGGTCAATTAATGTTTTTCTAAGATCTTGAGATCCATCAGTGAATTCTGTTAATCAACATTGTTTGGATGTATTTATTTAATGTCATCTTATGGCATCTACAGGCATTGTCCACCAATTTGTTGCGGTTTGCTGCCCCAGTCTTGCATGCTCTTGCTAAAATTTACTCTTTTCTTTTTCCTGGTCCTTCATGCTCATTCAGCACATGACTTGAGAATTAAAATTGTGCTTGTGGCTTCCTGTACACACTAAAGTAATTGCCTTGCGACTATCTACCCGCTCACTGTTTTAATGGATCCACATAGATCTTCCCACAACGGCGGTATTTATTTGCTTACACTTTCTTCGGAGCACATGTCAACAGTATTACCATTGCTTTGGATAACATGTGAGACCGACCAAATCCTTGCATCTGAGTATTTTGTGTGTGCATGTCCGCTGGTACATAATTATGTACCGTCGCAAACATGCATGCACTTGTAAATTTCTACGAATTCGTTTAGGTGTGCACATGCGTGCATGTCCCTGAATTCGTTAGTCGAAAAACTTACAATTATCATGTGCAAGGCAGTAGCTGGTGGGTTGAAAAATAGAACTACGGATGTCTGCGTAAAATTGCCTATATCCCTAGCGTCGGACCCTTACTAATATGATGGTAGATGGCGTTTGAGAAATTCGAACTTTACATGTCCGCTAATGGGCTTCAGTATTGTCATGGGGTTCCTGGACAAAGCATGGTGCAATGCAGTTGATGTGAATTATCTGATTCCTGCATTCGTGCCCGTGTTTCATTGGCAACGTTGATTGGTACACGGTTGAAACCAATCACCGTCCTATGCTTCTCATATTAGCTTTACTCGGACAAATTATCGATCGCCTCTCCCATGCTTCTCATGTTAGCCTCCGCCTTTTACTCGGAACATCAAATATGCGAAAAAGTTGGGAGTTTAAGTTTCAGAGGCCAATCTAGTCATTCAGATTCCTTAGCTTCACCTTCACGTCCAATCCACTGCGCAGAGTTCATCGCCGGGTTCACTTTGATGTGGACGATCCAATCATGGAGTGCCTACATTGCAGCCCTGAGTCACTTCTCTCAGGCATAACATTCATCTTTAACTTACTCTTGCTACTGATTTTGTTAGTCACAGTTCATGTAGTGCAGCTTCTGATAACAACAAAACCTTTGCGTCGAAAGTGATGCACGATGAATCTACCTAGAGATAATAGATTGAAGTAATGATTTCCTGTTGTTTAAGGGACATTCAGAAGATTGCCGAAAATCACTAGACATTACTTCGTACCACTCAAATTACATCATACTAAATGGGACATGCATGTCGTAGATTTGCAGCAGACCTGTTTTAAACGCGCCAGATAGAACATTCCTATCTGCACTCATCTCGCTAATAATCCATACAGAGAGAGAGAGAGGACTAACTTCTATCCTAAATTTGTATACATAGTTCTGTTCCACACTCAGTGAAGGCGGAAGAAGGCCATTACAGGCTCATATATGACCTGATTCGCATTCACGCCAAAGACGAAATCGGCATGAGCATAGTCTTCCCTGTACTGGATCACCAACTTGTCCCCGTCATGATCCTTGAGGCAACCAAGCAAGACTTTCACATCATCAGGATCGGCAAGCAGGTCTTTCCCTCCATAGCTAAGGTAAAGAGGGAGATCGTTCGGGATGCTCGTCATGTTATATACAGGAGGAGTTGGCTGGCCATAGTGGTTCATGTTATCGTCTTCGTTGCCGTAATCGAACATTTCTATGGTTCCGGTCCTGATCACTGCTCAAGTACAGAGATCGCATAGGAAAACGTTTTAACTATGTCCGTAGCCATGAGACAATAGCTACAGAATCAAAGAGGCTTACTCTGGGCCAAGTGGATCATGTTCTTTGTTGCAGTCGATTGCGGTTCATGAGCAAGGAAAATATCCGACCTAGAAGAATTTAAGCAACAATTCTGGCCTACAACATATACCAGTGAAAACCGGCCGTCAGTGAAAGGCGAAAAATACAACTTGAGGACATTGTCTGAAGGCAGTGGACACCAAAACTCGGATTACCTGTAAAGCCGGACATCAAGTTTGAACAGTCATTGCCTGGTATGTTGCATATTGCTTGTATAAGATTGTTCACAGCGTCCCTGTCAAATTGACACTAGCTTCAGACTGTGTGATTCTGGTTTTAAGCTAGAGGGTGAAAGAAATTAATTATACGCACGACATCGACATATTTGTGATCACATAGCCCCATGATTGTGAATTATACTCACCCTTTAGGAATGAATTGGTGGAGACCTAACCAGTAAACGTCCTGGTAAAACAGACCATTGTTTAGTAAGCTTCCTGCTGAAATTATCACTCTTCATTGACAAATTTCTGTTCTTTATAAAAAGGGAAAGAGGATGATATTAGTTTAGGTTACTTCAGCTAGGAAGATCTGAGCAGCACTTCTTGCGAGCGGGGAGGGCATTTGATTCATATAGGCGATCGGGCTAAGCAAAACAGCTGATCTTAGCATGTTCACCAATTCCTTGTGGGAGAAGGCGGCCAGCGCAATTAAAGTTCCCTGAAATCAAATTTACCACAGTATTATGTTTTTTCAGCAATATAATAAAGATTTTTAATTGCCACGAACTTGACGCGAAGATCGAGCGAGATTTATTCACCAAGGAATGCCCAACATAGTGCATATTCTGGCCAGTGAGTCTGCGCACGTGCTGGAGTACGGCGGGCATGTCATGAGCAACTAGTTCATCCCAGGACCACTCCCAGTATGCCTGAAGTACAGAAACTAAAATGTTACTTAATCTCACCGATTGAAAGCGGTTCAATAAGAAGTTGAGTTAAGCAGTTGCTCGGAATGCAACAATCTAGATTCCGGGCCTTTCATATACTCGAGACTGAGGACAATCCGTTTTCTTTTAACAAAGAAGTGGGGGATTTAGAGTAAGCCTGTCCATTGCAGAGAATGGAATTAATAGTAGGAAATTCTAGGAAGTGACTTGCGAACCGGATCACTAGGACTGAGAGACGTGTGCTGGAGGCTGGAAGTAGTTCCACGAGAGTTGGATAGCCATACATCGAACCCTGCATCTGCCAATATGAATGCCAGCGACTCATCCGGCAGGTTCATCAACCATGTCACGGCATCCTGTCAAATGTCATTGAAAAGCAATCTCTCTATCAGTTGTAAGTCTCAAGATTGTAAGTCTCAAGATTGCCCTTCTTCTGCCACATCCACCAGAAACGAATACATGCTTTATAATTGTCTGAAACCCATTAACACGTGATCTAAGAAAATTTCTTGCACGCACCACGTGCCTGGTGGTTCAGATTCATCACAGATGGTAATACATGTACGATTAATGCTCGGCCCATCACATGCTGCAATAGATGTGGCCGGCTCCAAGCCAGAAATTTGTTTTGCTTATAGGTTATCTCGTAAACAGGAAAACAGAAAAATTTACACATTCAGTTCATTTCGTCAAGTCCTTGTTATGAATCATCGGTTTGGAGCTACTGACCATCATGAGACCATGTTGTAGAAGAACCGGAGGCTTATAAGCCAACCGACCCGACCGTGATGCTGGAATCCTCTGAAGGCCGAGAATGTAACCATCTTTCGTCGTCACCTGAAACCCATGTCATCATTAGTTCAATCAAATCCAACGTGAATGAAATAAAACAGAATATGATATGAAATAATTATAAGTGTATTAACTGTATGTTCTTGGCAAGCATAGCCTTGTGTGACCACCAAAGATTTGCAGATACCATCAGTAGCAGCTGAAGATCTGGTGGAGTAGAGCCTCGCTCTTCCCGCTGCAACCGAAGCCACGCAAAATAGAAATGTCGCAAGAATCAGCTGAACCTTAGTGTTAGCCATAGCCAACTGCTTATTTTCTATATCCAAATGCCCCATTTATTTATACCATGCAAAGTCCAGACAAAACAAATGAAGACAGAAGAAAATGGTTGCCTACAATATAGGCTCGGTGCTTGAACTGATCAAATAAGAAGGGAAGATGTGTGGGGTCTAATGCTGCGGGCTTGCTCTTTTTTTATTTTTTCACTCTCCGTTACTTCTACGATGAAATTTGTTTATTCTGCTGCCCATGCCTCGTCATGAAGTCAAATTGGGCAATGATAAGAACTAGGAGATAGCTCGAAATCTGCAGAATCAATGTGAACGTGGGAAGAGAAGATGTTGATATGTAGGCTATTGAAAGACTAGTGTGCAGATAATGTTAAAAGAGCACTCGATTACAAGACAAATCTAGAGTAATCTTTTTTGATTAATTATTCCATTTCGATGAGCTTCGTGCAGAAAAACGGTGTGAAAATGCAGAACAGGATGCGGTACGCAGACGTTCTTGAAAGTTAAATTGAGGCTGTAGCTACACAAACGCGGCCTATTGTTGTTGGTAAGATATTTCTGGTTTTATAGTAAAAAACAATGCAAAAAGGAACCCTTTTGAATGATGTTGGACTCTGAAGCTGACAAAAGAGTTTGAAAAAGATATGCATGAATATTTCTGTTTTGTGCTGAGATGAATTAGAACAGGTCTTGGGTATGAGAAAGTCGATATCATTCTCGGTCCCATTACCCGATTTTTCATTTAGGCTTGATTTTGATAGAATACAAGTCATTTATTAACTTTTCTCAGATCGTTTAGGTTTGTCGTGTCTGTAATAAAATTTAATCTGCCCTGAAATTTTGCAATTTGCCTAGTCAAGAGAATGATCTAGCACTCTTTATTTTAATGTTGCGAGGAATATACTGCAGATATAAGTCCACAAGGAAACAAGGGAACGTGATCAACATCAAACAAACAAGATGATTTGCTTACCAACCAAAGTTAATTAAGTAGGCCTAGATTGAGACCAGGATCAATCAGTCATGTTGGATTAAACAAGAAACTGTGTGGCATAGATGCTTAATGACTCCACCACTAAGGTTGGTTTATAGACTTTTGTAAGATCACACTGAGGAATGAACCTAAGTCAGACAGTCATCCTGTATGTTCCTGTTATTGTTTCCTCAAGCATTCAACCGCTGACCGATAACAAACAAAATCAGACAACAAATCTGAAGAATCTATAATTTTCTATAAACATTCCCATTGTCATTAAAGTTACGTAGTTCCTTTTTACAACATTACAATCACAAGTTTCTACCAAAAAGAATCTTTGAAGAACGGGCTTTCCTAAAAGTACATCCTCATTGCAGCCTGAGAAAGGCCAGCAGAGGATCATACACCACTTCTTTAGCATTCTCTCCCATTACGAAGTCCGCGTGAGCGTAGTACTCTCTATATTGAATCACTAGCTTGTCCCCGTCATGGTCCTTGAGGCTGTCGAGCAATAGCTTCACGTCGCGCACGTCCGACAGAGCGTCGGCCCCGCCATAGCTCAAGAAGAGGGGCAGATCATTCGGAATGCTCGACATATTGTACAGGGGAGGCATCGCCTGCCCATAGTGCTCCATGTTCTGGCCTGTGTCGCCATAGTCATACATCAAGATTTTTCCATCTCTAACCACTGCTCATTTATCATGAGGACAAACTATAGGTAAATAAAGATTTATTTTGGCGACTCAAATGCAGTGTATAACTTTACAACTGAAGAACATCATGATTTAGCCCTATTGGAAATTCGTCCACTTACTCTGAGCCAGATGGATCAAATTCTTCGTCGATGTGGGTTGAGGCTCATGGTCCAGAAAGACATGTACTATGGTGGAGTTCAGACAGCAGTTTGGGCCTATAGATGTTCGAGCATGCTTTCAAGTCAATAATGAATGTCAAATAATCTTGAAAGTGTTTATTCGATCCATATACTTGAAAATACAAAGATTTTAACTATATAGTTGATTGAATGATCAACCTCTTCATTTTTAAAAACACATGGATATAACTCGTTAGTTCTCTTCGCACAGGTAAAAGGTTTATCGAAGAAAAGAGGCGCTTGTTGCACCAAAAGCATGACAAATATGGGGCCTTGGAAACTGATAAAATTGAAGGGCGTTCAGTTTAATTTTTGTGGAACCATTTACAGATCAGTCAACACATGATGAACATATACTACCTGTGAAAGAGGTCAACATGTGAGTGCAGTCAACTCCGGTTTTCTGGCAAATATCTTGCAGCAGCTTCACTACCGCTTCACTGTATGCTCAAGAGAAGACAGATCAGTATTCTCTCTGAACATATTCTGCCGAAATTTCAATGTTTGTCTTGGAACAATATTAACAAATAAAAACTCGATAGAATTAAATGGACAGCAACCCGACTACCAATAACTAAAACTACTAGGAGAAAAGGCCCCTCCTAAGTGGTCTCAATATCGAGTGATACCGGTGCATCTTGGCTTGGTCTATCTCTCGGAATAGTTTCTAATGAGAATGTTCCCATGGATGCGATATGCACAGTTCTTTCTCTGGCCGTCTACTTGGTAGCCTGGTAATACTTACATTTAATGTAGTTTAGTAGGAAGTCTAGACATTTTACTTGCAAATGTTGCAGGACAAGTTGAGGCACTACGCTTCTTACACTATCTGCCAGAATGATAAGGGATCGAATCAGATTGTCTCACCCTCTCGGATCAAATTCATCGACGCCCAACCAGTAAAGAGCCTGTCAAGAGGAAAAAAGTGAGAGATTCTGGTCAAGTTTTATCAGTTTAGCCTCTCTGCCAGTACCGACAGAAAATGGGGTATTTACCTCAGCTAGGAAGTTTTCTGCCGCACTTCTTGCAAGTGGAGAGGTCATCTGACCAACATAGGCGATCGGACTAAGTAAAACGGCCGATCTTAACATGTCCAAAAGTCGTTCCTTGGAGAAGGCGGCTAGAGCCATCAAGGTCCCCTGCAAGAAAACACTCAAGTTGCTGATAAATACTTAAATCTGCACCCTGGTACAGCTTCTAAAACAAGTCTATTTCGAAATTGAGCGGAACCCACCTGGGAGTGGCCAACATAGTGCAGTCTCTGCCCTGTTTGATCGTACACGTAGTTGAACACAGCAGGAAGATCAGAAGACACCAAAGTATCCCATGTCCAATCCCAGTAAGCCTACAAGGAAAGAATGGACTGTTCATTAAAGAAACATCGGAAGGCCAAAGGAGAACCCGGTATTGAAGGGGGAAATGTTCATTACCGCATCATTAGGACTAAGTGACGTGTGTCCACGGCTATATTTGGTTCCACGGGTGTTAGCGATCCACACATCAAAATTATTATCTGCTAAGAGGAACGCCAGCGATTTGTCCGCCGGCAATAGCAGCCACGTTTTTCCGTCCTATCACCAAAACACAGCATGTTATGTCTCTAAGAAATAAAGGATCTTTTTGGTCAACCTATCTTGCGCTAAATTAAATCAACAAGATCCTAATTAAAACGCTATTAGCTGCTAAATTGCCAACCATGAAGACCCCGTGCTGTAACATTACAGGAGGCCTGTCGCCAGTTGTTCCGCCTGATTGTCCCGCCATAATTCTCTGCAAGCTCAGGATATAACCATCCTGTGTTGTTACCTGAAAAATTATGCAACTTACATTAATCATTTTCATGTTATGTAGTCACTGCAAATGGGGAATCAAACCGTCAATATGTGATCAAGTAAAGGGAGTCAGCAAATTACAGTATGTTCTTCACAGCCATAGTTTTGGGGCTCCACCATTAATTGGCAAATACCATTATCATCTGCAACTGCGTCCAAGCTGGACTGGGGCCGCTGATTTCTGAGTGAAAATGGTTTTGTTCTCGCTGCCGTGGCTGATCGACAGAGAAGAGTCAGAAGAAGAATAATCGTTGCTAAAGCATTCGCCATTTTACTCCTTTCAGTGCTTAAAAAACACTCAGACGCTAGCCATTTATACAAAGGTGAACTAGCATCCAAACGGGATGTAGCATCTATCGTCACTTAAACCTCGTTTGACAACAGTCTAGTTATGGTTCCATTGAGGCATCTTCAAGAAAAATCCCAGGATCGCTCTACATCCCTTGATGATGACTAGGCGTAATCCGTCAAACATGTTGGCCAATTCATGTAAAGTACCAAAAGCTACAGTTTAAAGCTTTCTGTTGTCTGATAACCCGAGGCTTAAAATATAGCTCCAAAAGATTCCATAGGAAACTGAGACTGTCGCCTTCACATGGAAAAATTTCTCCAAAAACTTTGCAAAACAGCATAGACATTGCCGAGAAGTTAGTCCATTTGATGCGATCAAAATGGAGTGCCTCAACACCAATGAAACTCCATCGATGGCATCTTGTAAAGCAGAACTTCCTTATTCGTCCATGTAACGACATCAAGAGGGAAACATTGGCATAGCGACACGAATAAATTCATCTAGCAAAAGGTGTTTAGATGATCAAAAGATCACATTAGCGTAAAGACACTAGAGGAAATAGGACAAGGAAGAGATTCAGCTACCGAGGTGATTGTTGCCAAAGCCACGTTTCTTGCAAGTACAAAAGGAGTGTCCAAGTCATTGCATACCAGACATCTACTATGAATAAATTGAAATGGAGCATCCATGACATAAGAATCTAAAACTGGCCTGACATATATACTGATCATCGTTCTGATCATAACATGTAAGACAAAAGGTTGCTATGACCTGCAGGAGATTCCTCCATTAGGCTGTGGTGAACTCCAAGCAAGGAAAACACACTGAAGAATAATAGATCTTGTCTTGTGCCTAATGCCTGAACCTGAGAGCTCTGACTGTTGACAGAGTTGGGTGACTGCGGACCTCAGTTCACATTTGGAGTTCTGTTACTAAAACCAGATAGCCGAATCATAGTGCAGCTCCATCCATACACACAATTAATGGTCTATATCATAAGAACCGATTCGCCCAGAGATGTTGGGTGTTGGGTTCAGTTATCTAGATCATGGCTAACCGTCTAGCCCTTCAATTGGTAAAAACCCGCTTGCATCGCACTCCGCCAGATTTGATAGTCCAGATTTTCCCGCTATACCCATGAAAGAATGGTTCTTCCAGAGAGTCATGAGCGCAACACCAGCCAAAAAAAAATTGTAGTGATTGAATCACCTTCCGGCTTGAGTCGTATTCATGTCGCTGTTACTTATGTTTATATCAGTTTAGATGGATTGCCCAATACCTCTCGTACAGTGTTTATCACTTACAATCCCTCGGAAATAATCTTTCGATCTTTCAAAGGAATTCTCAAATCTTACCGCAAGATTCGTTGGCTTTAAACACAGACGGGTCCTTTCATGGATGCAACTCACGGTTACCCCTTATACTCAAGAAAATTCTCCACGAATATGAATGGAAGCCACCAAGCAGATCACATTCTGCACATAGATGGCATCAACACAAATACCACCTCTTGGATAACATAAATTTTTAAAGTGCAAAGAAGAAACTTTCTTCAGCCGACTCCAACATTGGATTTGGAAATTGTCTTGTTTTCTAAATAGTTAATACCACGAAAAACTCCAAACTTGTACGCTTGTGACAAATGTACCCCAAATATTTTTTTGACTATAAAAAAAAATCAATAGCTTTGGTTTTAAAAAAATACGGTAAACATCAATGGATCAAGTGTTTCTGTAACGAGTCGTTCCAAGGTTCGGACAGCGACGCGTTGGAACGCCAATTGGGAGGAGGAGGAGGAGTGATTGGCTTGATGGAAGACTTCGTTAAGGAGGACAAATATGAGGACACACGAGGGAAGCATGCAGAGATTATGCTGCGATTCTCGTTGACTTTGTCTAATCTCATATCTTTTTCCCGTCCACAATCACCCGACATTTTTTCCGTTTAATTGAAAGAAAATTATTTTCAAGAAAATATTTTTTGACTTTTTGGTATTTTGACGAAGGAAAACTAATCGATATACAAAAAACGTTTTTCATGAATTTGAAAACGACAAGCTTAGATCGGAAGAAAACGACTTCTCCTTCTAATAATAAGAAAATGAATTACCCTGGATCACCAAACAAATAAAAGCTAATTTCTTTGAAAATGATTTTCATGGAAAACATTTTTCTTTATCATAAAGTTTTCAGTGAAATAAAGATATCTTTAAAGTGTGTTTGTTTCGCGAAAAATGAATAATTTAGAAAATATCTTCCTAAAAAAACCCAAACTGATACACATGTGACAATTTTACCCCGAGCTAATTTTTTGACCACCAAAAACTTTAAACTGGTATACCTGTGACAAATTTACCTTCCGTTAGTTTCCGTTAAATTTTAATGACAAATTGCTAAGTTTGATGACGGTGATAGTTGACGGATATACCAGTTTGGGGTTTTACCCCTTTGTTTATCACAAGTTTATCAATTTGTGATTTTTCGTGATATTAATCCAATTTAATTGAGGGTAAATTTATCACAAATATATCAGTTTGGGGTTTTTGGTGGTCAAAAAATTAATTTGGGGTAAATTTGTCACAGATGTACTAATTTAGGATTTTTGTGGTCAAAAAATTAGTTTGAAATAAAATTGTCACGCAAGTGTACCAGTTTGAGGTTTTTCGTGGTATTAACTCTTTTCGAAACCTACTTTACATGAAAATACCTTATCTTCAAAGTCTTGTGCACATGGTTTTGAACCTTTAGAGGCGTTCAAAATAATTTCAAAAAATTTCAAAATTTCTCCGCATTAACTATACTAATTCATGCAAAAAAATTAAAAAAGAATAAGAAGCCAATAGGTAACATCTCGCTGACAGCAAACCAGACCAAACAGTAACATGCCCCCCACAATGTGCCGGACAATTACATCAGGTCATGTGAACAACAGCCGCGTAACTTAAGGGTCTCTAGGTACGTTGAGTTAAACTTCTCGTTTCGATCACTCAGAAGCAGCAGCAGCAGCAGCAGCCCAGACCAATGTAACCTTGAAATGGCCTCCAAAAGAAAAAGCAAAAGAGGAAATGGCACGATGGATCATTATTACGTTCACCCGCAGGTCAGGGCTCGGATGTGAAAAAAAGCCTCCAAACCCGACAGTGAAAAGCGAACGCCCGTACAAAGCATCCCCCCCTTCTCTTCTCCTCCTTCTCCTCACCCTTCTTCTTGTTTTGGAGAGAATCCTATGGTTAAAACCAAGGTACCCGGCACTGTTAACTCCTCTCTTAAGATCCGAGTGGACACTTTTTATCTCTTTTTTTTGGACACTTAACAGGCACACAGACTGTCAAAAATGAAACCAGATTCCTCTTTCCCCACCCACTCCCTCGATACTACTAGACACATCACCAGTCACCACACAGATAAGAAGTCTCACAAAAACCTCATTTCAACACCCCACACATAAAAAAAGTCCTAAACTCTCATTTAATTGTGAAAAACAGATTGAAAAAAAGCTTTTAGACACATGCACGAACCACTAAAATGGGGTCCTTGAGTTGAGTCGTTCTTCAACGGTTGAAATCTGTTGCGTTTCGATTCTATAACTAAATACTACAGGGGCATTGAGCATAAAATCAACCGGTAAAATGTGCACAGGATTAACAAAAATTGCCCAAAAGCAAATATTTGCCCCTGCCAGAATCTTCCAGTGGAGTCTGTGCTTTAAATAAAGAACAAAAGGAAAAGAAGCAAAGCATGCACAAACCCTTTGCTTGAGCAATGGATAGCTGCAGCGTAGAGTAATAAAGAAAAAGGTTAGGGAAGAGTGCAGAGCCTCGGAATGCGGGGCTTCTGATGCAAATCCCAGGCTTTGCCAGAATCCCCATTAAGCCCCCCCCCATGTGCATTCAATGCCTCTTATCGACAAACCCTATCTTCACCACCGCCCTCACCCAAGCCCCTCCATCCTCAACCATCTTCCATCTTCTTCTGGGTACGTCTGCTCCACACTCTAGGTCATAGGGCACATTCATTTCCACCAAAATCTCACGCAAGCTACGCAATGTAGGCTAATGTGTCAACACTCGAGCAAAATGATCGCCATTTGCCCTTGACCAAGCAAGTTCCCGACTTCTGAATCCTAAACCCATCTTCTGTACGCATATGGACACAACGTGACCCCCAATACAATAACCAGAGAAACAATGGCAACCAGAAAACAGAACAGAAGAAAGAGGGGGGGCCGCCTGGAGTCATGAAGATTATTCTTAGCCCAAAAAAGATGAAATTTTGTACACACAGATCAAGAAGATCTGATTAGCAGATACATAAATCTATCCGTAAGCCCATCAAGTTCATGGACAAAAAGCATAATCTACAGGAGGATCTAAAAATAAGTAGATTATCTCTGGAAACAAAAAGCAAGATGCCCAAATCTCTCCGCTTCTCTTATCATTTTTCCCGGAACACGATACAAGATTAGAGGTTGTAAAGTGACGAAATGGCCCCAAAAAAACGAAAACTTGATATCAAATCCTGGTCGTACAACAGATCAAAGGCACAGGGCAGTGGCGCGTAGCTCGTCGCCGTCAAGATCCGCGTCGTCGTCCAACGGCGGGGGCAGGTTCAGATCGAACGGCAACGCTTTCCGGAAGCAGGAGGACGCCAGCACGCAGCACTCGTCCGCGTCGTCGACCACCGACGACGACGAATCGCAGTCGCTCCGGCAGTCCTCCGGGGGAGCCCTGGGGGCGGCCAGGACCCTGGGGACCGTCGGGGCCGGATTCGAGACCCGGGGGCCGCTGTACGACTCCACCGTGCTGCTCAGGCTGCTGCTCGTCGGCCGGTTGACGTGGAAATCCTCCGCGGGCGGGGCGCGGCGCCGCCGGCTGCGGGGCCGGGGCCGCGGGCGGGGCCTGGGAGCGCCGCCGCCGCCGCCGCCGGCGACGGCGCGGCGGCCTGGGGCAGGCCGGTGAGCGGGTCGAGGGGGAAGTTGG